GTTGTACTAGTTACATTCCCACCAACAGTGTAAGAGGGTTCCTTTTTCCCCGCATCCTCGCCAACACCTGTTGTTGGTGGTGTTGCTATGATGGCTATTCTAACAGGGGTGAGGTGGAATCTTAGGTGGTTTTAATTTGCATTTCCTTTATTGCTAGAGATGGTGAGCATTTTTTCATGTGTTTTTGGCCATTTGAATTTCTTCTTTTGAGAAAGTTCTGTTTAGTTCACGCCCATTTCTTTATTGGTTCATTAGTTTTGGGAGAATTTAGTTTTTTAAGTTCCCTGTATATTCTGGTTATCAGTCCTTTGTCTGATGTATAGTTGGCAAATATTTTCTCCCACTCTGTGGGTGTTCTCTTCAGTTTAGAGACCATTTCTTTTGATGAACAGAAGCTTTTTAGTTTTATGAGGTCCATTTATCTATGCTATCTCTTAGTTGCTGTGCTGCTGGGGTTTCATTGAGAAAGTTCTTACCTATACCTACTACTCCAGAGTATTTCCTACTCTTTCTTATCAACTTAGAGTTTGGGGTCTGATATTAAGATCCTTGATCCATTTTGAGTTAATATTGGTATAGCGTGATATACATGGATCTAGTTTCAGTTTTTTGCAGACTGCTAACCAGTTTTCCCAGCAGTTTTTGTTGAAGAGGCTGCTATTTCTCCATCGTATATTTTTAGCTCCTTTGTCAAAGATAAGTTGCTTATAGTTGTGTGGCTTCATATCTGGATCCTCTATTCTGTTCCACTGGTCTTCATGTCTGTTTTTGTGCCAGTACCATGCTGTTTTTATTGTTATTGCTCTGTAATATAGTTTGAAGTCAGGTATTGTGATACCTCTAGCATTGTTCTTTTGACTGAGTATTGCCTTGGCTAAGGAACAATGTTTTTAAAAGTGTTGACCAGCAGACCTACAAAGTTAATTTTTATGTTGACTAGTCATTAAAAGACTATTGACTTCAATATATTTACCAATCAGAATTGGGTCCTTCCTACTTTTTATTATTTTTCCTAGATAATCTCTTTCTAGTCCCATAACACTGTTTACTCAGACTGTTAGATCAGACTTATTTTTATCATATCAGCATATTGTACGCTGTCAGTTCCATCTTACTATCATAATCTGTTCATTTTGTTGTTCATGATATTAGATGCAAGAGAAGGATTCTATTCTTTAGGTTGAACTAAAGCAAAAAAAATGGAAACTATCTTTAATTACTGAGTTCATCCATAATTTGTATAATAGTTTAAGATGTGTATATGTCATCAAAATGTTTTGCTATGCTGCTTCATCATAGTTTTGATATGAGAATTTTGTTTTTCTTGTTTTCTTTTTTGTTGTTGTTGTTGATACTGGAATTTGCATTCAAAACCTTGCAAGCACTATACCTATTAAGTCATGCCCCAGTCCTGTTTTTCATTTTCTGTTCTTGATTAGGGCTACATGAATGTCAGAATTTGGTGCCAAGTTTTTGAATCCCAACTTCTTAAGTAGACAATAGTTTTTTCATCTTTTTTTTTTTCTTGGTAGAACTGCGGTTTGAGCTCAGAGCTTTTCACTTGCATAGCAGGTGCTCTACCTCTTGAGCCTCATCTCCAATCCATTTGCTGTGGTTATTTTGGGGCCTCAAGAACTATTTGCCTTGAACCATGATCCTCCCAATCTCAGCCTCCCAAGTGGCTAAGATTAGAGGTGTGAGTCACTGGTGCCTAGCATTGAGTAGTAGGCAGGTGACCTACCACTTGAGCCACTTTGCCAGCCCTGTTTTGTGTTGGGTGTTTTTCAAGATAGGTTCTCACCTCACAAACTATTTGCCTGGGCTGGCTTTGGACTGCAATCCTCTTGATCTCTGTGTCCCAAGTAACTAGGATTGCAGGCATGAGCCACTGGCACCCAGCTCAGGAGTGAATTCTTTTTTTTTTTTTTTTTAATGCAAAGTCTTATATTGAAGCAGGTTGTTTTGGCTACAGATCCTAGTATAATTAGAAGATCAAAGGATGGGTAAATCACAAAGCAATAATGCTAGTTACAGTATCATTTATGGCTGTAAGGTGAAGAAACATTTCTGCATGTCAAACTACCCAGCATTGGTAGAACATCAATCTTCATTTCCTTTCTTTTATCTGATAATGTTCATTCAGGTGTTCACATTTCATCATTGATCATTGTCTTCAGGAGTGAATTCTTAAATGGGAAACAGAACCAGGAGTCAAGATCCAAGTGACGATAATTAGAAAGGAAGTAAGCAGAAAGGGCACAAACTGATTACTACAAATAGTCTTTTACTGTTTCCATACTCGCTATGTGGGCTTATAGTTACTTGAGTTTTAGATTTGCTTAAAAGTACAGAGACAGGTCAGCCAGAAGTTGAGTAGATTAAAGGTGAAAGGAGAATGACTGCAAGGGCAGGAAATGAAATGTGCCTAAGAAAAAGTGTACATTGTGCACAAGAAAAGTGACAATAGCTCCCAGAAGGGACTTCATAATGTTTTAAATTTATGCCAAGTTGCCTGTGATATATATGAAATTGTATATGGTAAAAAGAAATAGTGGAACATTTGAACTGATATCCTAAATAGGTTGTATTCCATGGTTGCTCTAAGGAAAAAAAAATAAGGAAATTCTTATGAATGAGGAGTCAAAATGAGAAATTTCTTCCTTTTTAATCCCTTGAGAATGATAGTGAAATATTAACCAGAAAAGCAACAAAAAGAATCCCTCTCAGACAGCTTTCTAGTTGAGAGCTACTTGGGAGGTCCTTCCTCCTAGTCCTAATTCCTTATTTATAGAAGAATTCTCAGATCTTGGACATGGTTGCTGTGAGGTACTGAAGACATAATGTATATGACAGCATCTCGATAAGTTGTAAAGTGCCAGAAGATGGCAGTTGTTAGGTCCTCAGAATCCAGTGTCCTCTAAGGCTCTGGCCAGTCTCACATTTTCTCTCTGGTTTCATATTTCTATTAATAGTGGCATCGTGTTCAGTCTCATACTAATTCCAGCCTTTACTGATTTTGCGGGAAGGACTCAGGATTCTTCACCTTTCTATTTGGGTTTGGTTTTTTTTTTTTTAACAAATAAATGCTTTTGTTATAACACCATGTTCTACAAAATCATGAACCAAAAATAAATAAGGGCTAAAGGAAAACAGGGTTATAAGCAGACCACTTAAAATCTATATAACTGAAAAAAAAGAGAAGTGAGCTAGAAAATGGATCTTTTAAAAATAGGGAATATCTATATAACTAAAAAAGAAATCTATATAACCTTGTAATCAGAGTACTAATAAAAGTAATGACAATCCTAATAAAAAAATACTACCACAATTAAATCTCCAATGACGTTTGAAATTCAAAAAACAAAGTCAAAGCCAGGCGCCAGTGGCTCACATCTGTAATCTTAGCTAGTTGGGAGGCTGAGATCAGGAGGAACACAGGTTGAAGCTAGTCTGGGCAAATAGTTCATGAGACCCCCATCTCCAAAATAACCAGAGCAAAATAGGCTGGAGGAGCATCCCAGGCTATAGAACATGTGCTTTCAAGTGCGAAGCCCTAAGTTAAAACCAGAAACCCTAGTCCTATCAAAAAAAAAAAAGTTTCTTCTGCAGCTTTATTCTTGGGGGTCATGTTTTATTCAAGATATAAGGTCTTAAAAACATTTGTTTCTTGGAGAGTAGTTCCATCAAAATTAAAAAGTATCATAGGAAGTAATCTTCCTTATCAATCAGTTTTTTGAGTGTTTTTTTGGTTTGTTTTATTTTCATTACAATGAAATATCTTTGTGTCCTTTTCACTTGCACTTCCCCCTTCCCCAGGTAGCTTAACACAATAAGCTCTTAAAGGTACAAATCAGATACTTCTTGCAGAAAACAATGCTGGAGGATTTTCATCTTATTTTTTCTTAACATATTGGTAATGCTTCCTTTTTAATCATGAGAAAGCTAAAATACCAATCCACACTTGCCAATCTCATAGAGCTAAAGTGCACTGAAGAAACATACTTTGAAGCAGAATGGATTATATTAGTTTCATCCCTCTTTATCCATTGTCCGAATTCACTGAGGATAGAAACTGGTTCTAATTCATCTGTGTTTCCCCAACAATGCTGGGTATAGTGCCTTATGGGGACTCAAAAGTATTTGTTGGTTTGAATTAAATTATTTATTCTGCTTTGCAATAAATACAAATCTATATAATATGGAAATGCCCTTAATGAGAGAATGACAAAATCTAAACATGATTTCTTCTGACTCCCTTTGCTGTCAGTACCTATACTTTAAGATAAGTACTCTATTTTAGAGATTACATGCTATATTACATACTCACGTCTACCAGCCACATTAAGACATGTTATATCTGATGTTTCTTGGAAATTAAGCCCAGTCCCATGTAAAATTGTACCACCTTATCTCCATTCCAGTGGTCAACCACTAGTACTAAGAGAAAGCAGAGTTTTGGGAGTTAGCTGGTCAGTTGTAATCTCTTCTGCTGTGTATTGATTGAAGTGGTAGAAATAATATATGTTCCTTATTTCAGCAAGGAAATGACAACTTAGGCTATCAGAAAAGAGGAGCAGCTAGGTGCCAGTGGCTCATTCCTATAATCCTAGCTACTCAGGAGGCAGAGTAGCCAGCCCGGTGAAATAGTTCATGAGACCCTATCACAAAAATACCCATCACCAAAAAGGGCTGGTGGAGTCCTCAAGGTGTAGGCCTTGAGTTCAAACCCCAGTATGCAAAAAAGAAAGAAAAGAGGAGTTATCCATTATTAAATTCATGTTTTCCTAGAACAGTTACAATAGTAATATATTTTCTTATTTAACTCTTATTGTGGGCAAAAAGATAGTTTGCCATAGTTGAGACAGTATGATCTGTACAATTGTCATAGTAATCTCAGTCATAAACTCAGATGTATCACTACCACTCAGTCTGCACTAGATCTAAGGGATACACAGTAGAAAGGTGGAAAAGGGATAAATATCAGTTCTGTGTTTCTTCAGAATGTAAAGAGACTCCTGCAGAACCCCAAAGTGACAGAGTTTGATGCTGCTCGCCTGGTGATGCTTTATGCTCTACATTATGAGCGACACAGCAGCAACAGCCTGCCAGGACTAATAGTGGACCTTAGGAATAGAGGTGTTTCTGAGAAGTATCGAAAGGTAAGCAAGTTTGTATGTGTGTCAGGGTGTGGGGGGGATTTGTTTTTTGGAGACAGGGTCTTTCTATGTCAGTCTTCTTGCCTCTGCCTCCTGAGTACTGGGATTACAGGCATATGCCACCATGTGCTCCAAATCTATTTATTAAGCCCAGCAAACAGGAATCAATTGTGTTGTATTCTTAGCTCCAACAAATGATAAATCATTCTATTTTTATTCACAGAAATGTATAATTCTGTCCTCTCCTATCTTCATTTCCTTAATAAGGTTATTTCTTTATAAAATGAGCTTCCTGTTCCCTAAGCAATAAAAGATTCTTTTATTTTTTTTTCTTTTCATAGCTTGTGTCTGCAGTTGTTGAATATGGTGGTAAACGAGTTAGAGGAAGTGACCTCTTTAGTCCCAAAGATGCTGTGGCTATTACCAAACAGTTTCTCAAAGGATTAAAGGTAGATATATCTTCTCTGCTTTCCTAAATAAGAACTAGTCAAAACCCCTGAAGCTGTGAGTGGAAGGAAGATACTTTAAAGTATCATCAGGATGGATTGCTGTTGGCTTAGTACCATGTCAATTAAGTGAAATTAAAGCAGTCATCCTCTTGGAAAGTTTTTTGGTTTTTTTTGTTTCTGTTTTTGTTTTTTTTAGTGCTTTCTGTATTGGAACAGTATCAGCATTGGGCTAAATAGTTGAGCAGGAAATAACTGGACATATTTTCAGGAAGTATTCAAGAGTAAAGAGAGTAAAGACAAACAGTTCTGTTAGTCACAGATATTTTTTTCTATTTGTTTATAAGTTAAGATTTCTTAGGTAGTTTCTCTTTGAAGGAAATTAAAGAGAAAGAAAACATTTGTTGATTTTTTAAAAGTATGAACCTACTTTTTTTAACGGCCAAAACTCAGTTTTAATCTGTTCGCCTTTCTTATGTTTCCTGACATTTTTCCATTTTTCTTTTGTTTACAATCTCTTTTTATACAGTCCCTTCCTTTTGTTTGCTTCACCTGTCATTTCACATTTTCACAAAAGAATGAATTTGATGAAGACATGAGAAAAAAATTTAAGCAATTTCAGTTTTAAAGTTCCTTTTCAATAATTAGCTTTAAATTTAGTATTTTGAGTATTTTTCTAGTTAATTAAAATAATTTTTAAGCATCCTAAAATTCCTATTTGAATCTATCCCCCTTTTCTAATATGAGTATTACTGTTATGTTGTTAGTTTCCAAAAATAACATAAGAACCATTTCCCCATTTCAGGGAGTAGAAAATGTGTATACACAGCATCAGCCTTTCCTACATGAGACCCTGGACCATCTAATCAAAGGAAAGCTTAAGGAAAACCTGTATCCTTATCTAGGTCCCAGCACACTCAGAGACAGGTAAGAGAAAAAAAATAAAAACTAGAAACACTAAGAAAATAGGAAACTTAGAGTAGTGTTGGGGTGAATACTGTTTTATCACCCAATTCCACCTTCCTCTATTGTTTCAATTCTAATATTTTTTTGGTTTAACATATGTCAGGATAGATATGAGTCCCTCTGCTAATCCTGAATCACTTATTTGTTTTGGAATAAAAAAACCAGTATCTCGAAAGACCCCAAATCCCTGTATTCTGTGTTTTAGTAATACATCAGAACTTATGCCATTTAAGGTTCAATTCTATGGCATCTAGCATTTAGCCTTTCAAACATTAAAGCCAAAAATAGATTTGCCATGGAGAGCAGGTTGTTACTATTTTTGGTGAGGACTGGACTTTGCCAAATGTGGCCAACACACAAACTGAGAGACCCAATTAACAAAGGCCATTTGTTACACAAAGAAAAGGATGGTTTTCTTTTAATTACAATTTAAATGTAGTGGTTTACTTGATTTTAATAAAAACAAAACTTGTCCAGAACAACCTTCTTAGGCCAACTTGAAATTTTAAATATACACAAATTCTTCTTAGTTAAAAAGTTATATTCCTATAGTTTATATTTAGACTTCATGTTGTAAAGGGACTAACATATATAGTTGAACACATAAAAACTTTACTATTGGTGTAATTCTTATAGTATTTCAGCTAACAATAATCTAAGAGCCTTGGAAGTATCATTTTATAAATACAATGAATTTCTGAAAGGGGAAAATGTTTTGAGGTTCATAAGTGACTTTTATATGGTGAAGTATATTTTTTTTACTTTAGTTCCTTTAAAAAAAAATCTCTAATTTGGTACAGAACAGGAAAAAAAATCATCTTTTTTTTTTAGAACAGTTTATAAACATTTATGGTTAATACAGATTTGAAATTAAGTCCTCTTTTCAAAGATCAGTGAATCTGGACTGGTTAACCCACCAACTTAGCATCATCAAATGAGAAAACAAAAACAAAACATAACATTTTAAAAGAAATTATAACTTCAAAATAAATGTGACTCCTCTTGTTTCAAAAATTATGCAATTTTTCAAAATGTAAAATAGAATGATTAGTTACATGGAAAAATACTTTCAAAACTAGGATAAAAAAAACCTCTTTAATTATATACAGATCTAGGATTAATATATTCGGACTTTTACATAAGTAGTTTAGAGACAAAGTACCTTAGTAATGGAAGTTTTCAATCTCCCTTTATTTGTTAATTTTATTTCTAGTTCCACAACAAAAAAAGGTAAAGATTTCATGATATATAATCTATAAAGCAAGGTCATTTTTATCAGTAATTTCTCTGGAGAGGCAAAATCCTACAAAGCAAAGCAAACTGTGAAGCAAAAAAAAATCATCTATTAAAAATCCAAGGTTGAAAGGCTGAACATCTGGTGTTAAATTCAGAGTACATTACTTCAGATAAAATGTTTAAGGACCTTGGCATCAAGATTTAGAAATGTCAGCTAAATGGGAAAAATAAAAACCAGCCTGAGTGATTCACCTGTCTGAGAGGCTTTTTTGAAAAGCATAACTCTGTTCTTGATGCCTTCAATTAATTTGAAAAAAAATTAAAAACATTAATTTACTTATGAATTTCATGTAAGAATTACTAAACAAGAAATTAGTGAAAGGGAAATCATAGACCAGAAGAATACATTGTATATGATTAGTGTACCACTGCAAAACTTTCTAAGTTGCATGATTCATTCCCAAACAAAGCTAAAAGTGATACTCTGCCCCCAAATGCACACTTATTAGTTGTTGGCATCTGTTAGCAATTATCACTATAACCTAAATATGTATGTAGTTAATAATTCAATTGCTCCATTCTTTTATACAATAGATGTTTATTGAATGCCTTCAATATGTCAAGAACAGTTATAGATGCTGGTATAGAAGTGGCAGGAAAGATAAGTGTCTATTCTCTGAAGAAACAGAGAATAGACAAACAAATACAGTTGCTACCAAGGAAATAAATGGGGTAATCTGCAAAGTAACTGGGCATGGGAAAGATTCCTTTAGATAGAGAGAACCTCCCTAAGAGGTGATAGTTAAAATGAGTTTTGGGGCTGGCCAAGTGTCTCAAGTGATAGAATGCTTGTCTAGCAAGTGTGAATCCCTCAGTTCAAACTCCAATACTGCCCAAAAGAAAAAGTAAAATAGACACCAGAAGTCCTGTGTGACAGAGTATAGTGGGAAGGATGAAATAAGAGGTTGAACAGATAAGCAGGGGCTAGCACATCGGGCCCTATAGACCTGGGTAAAAGGATTTTTTTTATTTCATTTTATTTTTAAATATCATAGGATGCCACTGATGAATTTTAAACATGAACTGAATTATGTTTAATGGTCACTTTGTGTTGAGACTAGATTGGGAAGACAAAAAATAGAATCAGGGAAACTACTGAAGAAGAGTGCTATAATAGTACAGGTGAAAAAATGAAAATGGTTTGGACAGGAGGCTGAGAAAGAAGTCAGATTTATGTGACTATACATGTGTATTTAATAAGAATGTGCTTGACCATACAATGCATAATACATATACTATGTATATAACTCTTTCTCTCTATATGTATATATGTATGTACGTATGTATACAGTAACTATTTCTGAAAGAATAAATAAATAGTTGTTACCTGTGGATATTGAGACAGTAGTTAATTATATACATATCGATTCTCATTAGCTATTGTATAGGTATTAAAATGTTGAAGTAAGAATTATATTTTTTCAGTCTATAGTTTTCACAATATTTAACACAGAGCTTTGCAAATAAAAGGTGTTCAATAGCTGTTTACGCAGGAACGTATAGCAGTTGATATGTCGAGGTTTATAATTAGAAAATTTAAAACCAAGAATAAATTTAGTGATGATACAGAAAATTTAGGTTTTTTGTGGGTTACTAGTAACCCTATATGTTATTTTGGCTCTGCCTCTGCATGACTGCACTATCTAGCCACTTTATTGGCCCCGGTTCATTATATTGAGAAAAGTCATTGATTTCAGTCATCTTTATAATGATTTAAGTCTCAGGCTGAAATTTGGTTTTATTATATACTAGAAAGTATCAAAGGAGATATGGCAAGAACACAACTTTGCAAAATCCAAATACTTGTGGAAATTATTTAGCACTTAGCTATTGAATTAGTGGTTAACTTGTTTGCCAGTATGAACATATTCATAAATTGGATTTGATTGTCATCCTACAGATGGGATTCCAATGTATCCTATTCTTAAGCTACTTTTTTTCTCCATAGATGCTTCTTATCCTTGATTTAAAAAAAAAAACAAGCAAGTTTTCCACTTTGTGATAAAATGGAACTAAATGATCATACATTTCAGAATCAAGTAATTAAAAAGGAAGTACTTTTCACATTTCACAAATTTAGTAGAACATTGTTGCAACAGCTTACTTTTATTTCTAAAAAACAGCAGTCCTGCTGGAGCATGTAGCTAATGCCTATAATCCTAGCTACTTGAGAGACTGAGATTGGGAGGATTGACATTCAAGGACAGCCAGAGCAAATAGTTCTCAAGACCCCCATCTCCAAAATAACCAGAGCAAAATGGACTAGAGTGTGGCTCAAGTGGTAGAGTGCCTGCTTTACAAGCATGAAGCCCTGAGTTTGAACCCTAGTCCCACCAAAAAACAACAGAAAGCCCAGCAATACTTTTTTTTTTTTAAGAAAGACAAAGCGATTTTGCTAGTTGAGAAAAGGAGAGCTATACAGAGAGATTCCTAGCATTAGCAATAATGTTTTTATTGGCTTTTTTTGTTCCTGCAGTGAATCTCCATGAGAACTTTACCATCTATAATATTAAAAAATCTGAGTTTTACACATAAGCGTAATAGTCCACAAAGTAGATTGAGTGTTGCCTTTGAGAAATTCATTTTTTGACCTAGCTTACTTGTACATGGAAATGATGATTTCCAGAAATACTATATATGAATTTTAATTTCTTTTCTAACAAAATAAAATACAAATTGATTGAGTTCTCAGGATGTCTGTGTATAGTGGGATACAGCATGGACTGGCTGCTGTTTTCTAATGTTTGCTGCCTGCATTAATTAATCCTTTTGGTTGCTATGGTGAATTACAGAGCACAGGAAGATACATCCAAAGAATTGAACTTCTGTATTCCATTTAGCTTTGACCATCATATGAAAAAGATTTCCTGTATGTTTTACCATTGGTCTCATCAGAACATCTACTTTTAAAATTCACTGGGAAAAGGAATAGAAAGGAAAAATGTCAGTGATCCTTTTTCAAAAAATGTTTTTCACAGATGTTTTTCCTTAAGCCACCATGAATCAGAGGCTCAGAAAAACATATTAATGTTTTCATTACCAAATATGACATGGTCATCTTTGTTGGGTATACAATTAAGCCAAGTTCTAAGAACCTATCCTGTTTCTAGGTTTTGTCCTTACATTTATATAACCTATACCCACAGATAACCATTCATGGTATTTTCTTCCCTCTCCAGTAATACAAAAATACCCTGGCACCCTAAAATTATCAGCCTAAAGGACATTCTCTGGCTATGCTAGAAGTCCCCTGAGTTTATTATTTCCTAGTTCTTGCCTTCCCTTCCCACAGAAACAGATGAACTCTTGAGACAGGTGATAGAAGGCAGCTACAGAGAAGCAACATCACTTTCCAGGATGAAATTTATTTGTATGCTTGGTGGCTTTTTAAATTATCAGATCAGAAGCTCAAAACAAAGGTATTACTGTATGATTCCTCTCATCAGTCTCCAAAATGGTAACTATCCCTACAAGGGAGAAACTTTGTCCCTTTTTCTTAATGGGATAATCTGTGTAATTTATTAGTATTTATTTAAGATAAAACTGCATAATGGACATCAGGGTAGCATGTCTCTCATGATAAAGAGCATCATATATGTATTCTTACGGTTAAAAAGTACTCGTTTTCTGAATATAATGTCTACTTCTTCTGTATTGGCCCTTCTTACATAGCACCAGTATTCAATCACAAAAGTTCCACCTTATCTAATCCTTTAAATACCATAGTCAGAGTAAGTTTCCACCCTTTTAATACCTCACAATGGGATTACATTCAGTATATGAACCCTTGTGGGACACCCTCAAACCATATCCAGACCATAACAAGCAGCCACTATTTCCATATAGCTATTGAACATGTGAAATAAGGCTAGTGCTACCAAAGAACTGAATTTTTTCATTTTATTTCGGTTAAAATTTAAATCACCATATGTGCTACTAGACATTATATTGGAGCAGATCTAGGGAATTAGGGTAGATGGAAGGATCAATGGCTGGACTCTGGGTACTCCTTAGAGAGATAAGATGAAACTATTGAAGAACACTGAAAAGTAGCAATTTTAAAGTAGGGAAAAACTATGAACATACTGTTCTAGAAGCTAAATGGATAAAGTATATCCAGGAGGAGCAGGCGATCAACTTAGTCCAAATGTTGTTGACAGCTCAAGTAAAACAAAGACTGAAAAATTACCATTTGGAATTAGCAGTATATGACCTTGACAAGAAATTGTGGGGGCCAAACCTTACTGAAATTTGCTTATGATAAAGTGACCTTGGCATAATTACTTGACCTGTCTGAGTTTCTGCCTCCTCAACTGGATTTTTCCTTTGCACAGTTGTAAGCAAAGTGCCTGGAAAATAGTAGATATTCAACAAATGGTTACTGCTGGTATAGGTATTTTGGAGAGAAGAAAATAAAGTGATATTCACTGTAATCATTCATTACACTAATATTTACTAGCTTTCCTATGTGGTAGGCACTGCTCTAAGATTGGAGATTCAGCAATGAGTAATAATAATGGTAATAATCTCTAACCTCATAAAACTCACTTTTTAGCAATATCTGTAACTACAAAACAAGAGAAGAGAGAATAGACTGTAACAAAGATAACCAAGCTGGAAAGATAGCTGGTTGAGAAAGACTAACTACTATACGTTAATAAATATGTATTCAACTACTTTTATCTTTTGACAGAGAAAGGGCAAGTTAAGATCTGTATTTTGAATAATAAGGGGGTTTTCTTTTTTGTGTGTGTGTGTTCATACAGATCTTTATTTTTTTTTTCATTTTTCTTTTATTATTCATATGTGCATACAAGGCTTGGTTCATTTCTCCCCCCTGCCCCCACCCCCTCCCTTACCACCCATTCCGCCCCCTCCCTCTCCCCCCGCCAATACCCAGCAGAAACTATTTTGCCCTTATTTCTAATTTTGTTGTAGAGAGAGTATAAGCAATAATAGGAAGGAACAAGGGTTTTTGCTGGTTGAGATAAGGATAGCTATACAGGGCATTGACTCACATTGATTTCCTGTGCATGGGTGTTACCTTCTAGGTTAATTCTTTTTGATCTAACCTTTTCTCTAGTACCTGTTCCCCTTTTCCTATTGGCCTCAGTTGCTTTATGGTATCTGCTTTAGTTTCTCTGCGTTAAGGGCAACAAATGCTAGCTAGTTTTTTAGGTGTCTTACCTATCCTCACCCCTCCCTTGTGTGCTCTCGCTTTTATCATGTGCTCATAGTCCAATCCCCTTGTTGTGTTTGCCCTTGATCTAATGTCCACATATGAGGGAGAACATATGATTTTTGGTCTTTTGGGCCAGGCTAACCTCACTCAGAATGATGTTCTCCAATTCCATCCACTTACCAGCGAATGATAACATTTCGTTCTTCTTCATGGCTGCATAGAATTCCATTGTGTATAGATACCACATTTTCTTAATCCATTCGTCAGTGGTGGGGCATCTTGGCTGTTTCCATAACTTGGCTATTGTGAATAGTGCCACAATAAACATGGGTGGTCAGGTGCCTCTGGAGTAACCTGTGTCACAGTAATAAGGGGGTTTTCAAATGAAGTACAAATAAGACATGAGTATCAGAGCAGAGGAAACTGAGTAAAGGGATAGAGTTGAGATAGGATAGTCAAGAGATAAAATTGGCACAAATTTGTGGCAAACTGAATAAGGACACGGTGAGAGGGCAGAAAATGGAAGAAGGAAAAAAGAGATAACTCAAAGTTTCTGACTTGAGTGATGGGTATGACTCATTAGATAGTGCCAGTGGTAGGTAGAATAATGCCCTCCTAAAAGATGTGCATGCACTAATTCTTGGAACCTGTGAATGTGTTATCTTACTTGGCAAAGAGACCTCACAGATGTGATTAAGTATATAGAATTTGAGATGGAGAAATTATCCAGGTGTGCCCAAACTAATCACAAGTCCCTAAAATTAGAGAGCCTTTCCCCAACTGTTATCAGAGAAACAAGTGACAACAATAGGATAAGAGACATGAGACACTGCTGATTTTAAAAATGGAGGAAGAAAGTCAGTCATAAGCCAAGAAATGCAACCTCTAGAAGCTGGAAAAGGGAAGGAAATAGATTCTGCCTTTGAGCTTCCACAAGGAACACAGCCCTGCTAATGTGGCTTGATTTTAGCCCAATATCAAGATGCATGGCTGACTTCTAATCTCCAAAACTACCAAGTAACAAATTTTGGTTGTTTAAGCCACTAGTTTGTGATAATTTGTTTTAGGAACAATAGAAAACTAATACAATGCCATTGATCAAAATAGGGAGTATACAAAGAGTAGCAGATTAAAGATGGTTTTAGATGTGATGAATATGAAATGTCTATGATATATAAATATGTGGATCTGTAACCAAAGATAAAGGTGTGAAGTTGTGAAAGTGTGGTAGTTCAACCTAGGTAAAATGTGTTTTTTTAAATGAGGATCAAAACAGGACATTGACAATAAACAACTCATAAATTGGATAAAGAAAAAAACATTTCTAAGAAAAGTCTATTTCACCAAAATTGCCACCATAATTACCAATGATATCTAAATAAATCCAATGCACATTTTTCAGCCCTAATCTTCCTTGACAGAATTCACTGGGGAATCCCTGCAATTCAGAGACTATCTGAACATATTTAAATAGCTACAATTTCTGATTCTGTTTCCATTAAGTCCCACAAGAACAAATAATCTTTTAGTTAATTGCTTCAAGGTGTTTTAAAAAGACAAACAGAAAGAAAGGTAGTGTTGGGAGGGGGTGTTCATTATTTATACATAAGGATGTATATCCCCTGATTAAAGATGTTTCTGTTTGGTTTTTTATTTGGTTTTTCAGACAGCTTCTTACTGTGTAGCCCAGGCTGGCCTTGAACTTGTGACCCTCCTGCCTCAGCTTCCCAAGGCATGGGATTACCGTTGTGTGCACCAGGCCCAGCCCTGAACATGTTTAGTTTTGTGCCATAACTTCTAAAGGAGATGCTTCTGCTTGATGTAGTTTTAAATAATGTTCAGTGAGTGACTTAATAAAATTACTTGCCCACTAAGACTACATAATTTTATCATTTCTTTTGAGTCAGGAGAAAAGAAATCAAGAACAAACTTTAACAGCTTTGAAAATATGATCTTTTGATACCTGCAAAAGGAGAAAATAAGAGGACCACTCTCTTGTTATGAAGCTATTTTGATAAAGGTTAAAACAGTAAAACAACAGAGTGCTACCCAAGTGAAGTCAGTGGCTGAGCTGATGTGTCAGCATGTCCAGTATTAAAACTACACCCACAGATTTTTTTGGTTTCCATGGTTTCTTTTTCTTGGTTTATCAAAGAATTCAAAAACAAAGATTTTTAAAGAGATGGAGTTCCTGGGGGCATCATTAATTTTATGTGTCCCATTCTTTTTTGACACTCAAAATGCTAAATGGTTCTAGTTCCCACATTATGGGGACATTGAAATATACTACTGCTGTCTAAAATGCTTGAAGGTCCCGTGCACTGAAGCTATTGTAATAGCACTGTACTAAGTATGTGACATAGGTCCATGCATGAAAGGAGATATGTGGTACAAGCATAAATTACTGCTGTATTGATATCATGTCACAGAGTAATACTCTGCAACCTCTTGCATATAAAAGAATATTTCTACATTTGGTTTAGCAAACATTATTGTGCTATTCTGAAATCCACAGCACAGATATTATAAGACATCCACTCATAAACAGAAAGCAAATCACTATTCAGCATTTCCTGCTCTGTTTCCTGCCAATTTCAGATAATTAAAACTTTTTTAAACCTTTTATTCTATTCTGCTTTAATTCTGCTTTCTCCACCAAAAAGGAAATCTAGAAATTGAAACTATGTATATAATAATAACAAATCTTTGCCCACCTCCTCTTTCTTATCCTGTGACATTATCTTTCTCGTCATTATCACAGACCTCAGGATATCATTGTGTTTGTAATTGGAGGAGCCACCTATGAAGAGGCTCTAACGGTTTATAACCTGAACCGTACCACTCCTGGAGTGAGGATTGTCCTGGGAGGAACTACAGTGCACAACACAAAAAGGTAAAGGATGCCATTCATTCCTGCAGTTCTCGCTCCTCCCCAGAGGCTAAAGCTTAAATTCCCTGGGTTGGAATGATTGGTCAATGATGACCAAACTGCTGTGATCAAACTGCTCCCATGTTTTCAGCATCAGTTCAAAAAAGATTAGCATGTGTGAGATAAAGAATTTATAGTCTATTAAGTTCATAAGTCACTTTATTATGTCAGAGACCTAAATAAGAACCATCCTGTACTGTTAACAATTTGTATTTCCTATGTTCAAAGAAGGAGAAATCATTATAGCCACAGACTGGCACTTTGAAAATAGATAAACGTATGGCATCGAGTTTTTCTATTTTGTTGATTACATTCATTTAATAAGTATTGAACAAGAATACAAGGATAAATAAGCTAAATATTCTATCTCAAGTAAGTCGTTGTCTATTAGGAAATATAGAACATAAGAAGCATGAAAATCAGTGCCTGGAAAGACAGAGCCGTGGACTCTTTAGAGCCATGGATTCTTAAAGTGGCTGCAGGAAAGTAGCAAATGGTTCATGGAGAAGATAGTTTATAAACTAAGCCTTGAATAGAAAATGGACTTATGGAGGGAGAACACATTCTAGATAGAGTTAACCTGGTGAACAAGGCATGACAGCTATAAGCAACGCTGTACACACATGCACACACAGAACCACAAATAGTCAACTGTCTATCTGGAATGTGTGTAACAAAGTAAAAATATCCATTGAATGCCATAATTATGGAAGACCTTGGGTGCCAGGCTGAGGAATTTCTACTTTCTTATGTAGAAAGTTGGGGAAATAGTGAAGATTTTTTGTTTGTTTGTATGTTTTGGCAGTACTGGGTTTGAACTCAGGCCCTTGCACTTGCTACACAGGTACTCTAGCACTTGAGCCACACCTCCAGCCATTTTTTAGATAAGGGCTCATCTTTATGCCTGAGTGGGCCTAAACTGAGATCCTCTCATTTACACTTATCACATACCTTGTATGGCAGGCATGTGCCACCATGCCCAACTTTTTATTGGTTGAGATGGAGTCTCCTGAACTTTTTGCTGGGGCTGGTTTCATACTGTGATACTCTCAATCTCTACCTCCTGAGTAACTAGGATTACAGGCATGAGACATTGCACCTGCTAATACTGAAGGTTTTTAAGCAGTGGAAGTATAAGAGCATTACACTGCTGTAAGAGCATTAATTTGGCAGTGAAGAGTGAAGGAAAGATTCTAGACTAGAGAACCATGGCAAAATGGTTAAATTCAATGACTGGGGACCCTGACAAATCTGTGCTGAGAAGTTCGTGTATGGATAACTGGGAGTCATCAAAAGTATTTGTGTACTCTTTCATTGTGTATTTGATTTTCTAAACATCATTTTCTCCTTCATTATGGAAGCAGTATGTGCTTATTCTGAAGCAGTTTTTTTTAAAATTCAGAAACTATATAGAGAACAAAACCTCCCATAATCTAACCACTATTATATTTTGTCTTTTCAGACATTTCTTCTCAGCTTGTAGAGTGTGAGCAGAAAGAGAGTTCATTGTACATTCTGTTTATAACCTTTATTTTGCAGCCTCATATAAACACCTTTAGAGTTAAATATATAATCATGCATTCATTACACAAGTATTGAAGGGTAGGACTGCTGGGTATAAATCCTTACTTTCTCTCTTAGCTATTTTTGTGAACTTGGGCAAATTACTTAGCCTCTTTGTCAGTGTCCAGAACTCAACTGACCACTTATATATTTTTTGTGAGAATTTCCAGATCATGTCCTTTGCCCATTTTGCAATTGGGGTATTCTCTTTATTTTTCTTAACAATTTTTTAAATTTTGTGTGTGTGTGTGTGTGTGTGTGTGTGTGTGTAATTAAGGATTTTAATCATTCACCTTGTATTTCACAAGCCAATTACCACTATTTTAATGCTTTTGTCACACATTAATCACAGTATTTTACAGTGTAAAAGCTTTGTTGTTTTTTTCTTCTTTCCTCTCCCTTTCTTTGATACAGTTTCCTCTTTTACTGAAACCATCCTTTAATAGTTCTTTCAGCTAGTAGTCAACTTGATATTAATTAAGCTAAGTTTAGAATTATAGGTTGATACATTTTTGCTCAACAATTATAAGCCAGATGACAATGGAATATTATTTTCAATTGTTGCCATGAAGAAATCTCTCTATGTTTTTTATTTGTAAGCAGTCTTCTCAGATTCTTTTTCAAGATTATCTTTTTATCTTTAATGTTCTAGTTTTAGTATTCTGTATCTAATGTGGATTTATTTTTTATTCTTATTTGTTATGAAGATTCACATTTGACATAATTTCCTTTTGGTAGTACTGGGGTTTGAACTCAGGGCCTTGCATTTACTAGGCAGATGCTCTACTTCAGTCACGTCTCCAACCCCTTTTTGCTTTAGTTATTTTTCAGATAGGGTCTTGTGCTTTTTGCCTGGACCAACTTTGGACTGCAATCCTCCTACCTATGCCTCCTGTGCAGCTGGAATTACAGGCATGGGCACTGCACCAAGCCTGTTTGTTATATTTCTGGAAAAAATTCTAGTCACATTTCCTGTGGTCTCTCCTTCTGGAACTCCTATGAGATATATGTTGAATCTTCATCAGTTCTTCATGTTTCTTCTTCTCATTTGTATTGTCTACCTGTTATCTATGTGTGCTGCCTTCTGTATAATTTTTTCAAATCAGTATTCCACTTCAGTTATTCTCTTTTCAGCTATGTCTAATCTATGTTTAATTTCTCCATTGAGTTTTTTTACTTAAAATACTGTATTTGATCCTATAAGTTCTGTTTGCTTCTTTTTCAACTTTGCCTGATGTTTTTGTTAATATCCTCCTCTTTCCTCATCTTTTTAAGTCCTTCATTTTCTTTCAAATCCTATAATTTTAAAATAAAACTCTGAAACCTAACATCTGAAGTACTTGAAGGTCTTCTGTTGTGTCTGCTAACATTAGCTTATGGTTAATCATTTCTATGTGTTCTATAACTTTTGAGTTTAAGTTATCTTAAGCATGATTTTATCTATAAGACCTATGAGAGGCCTAGTTGAAGATGTCTCTTCAGTATGGAATCATTTTATGTTAATTTCAATATAATACTTCAGGTTTTCTATACCATGTAGAACAGTACCAGCTTATATTCAGTCTTCCTTGTTATCTCCTTGTACAGACACATTTTTTTTAGTCTCCTTTTTAGTGAGATCCTCTACATTATGTGAGAGTCTCAATTTTAATTTCTCTTCTCACTTAGGCCTACACCTTGCCTAATTCTAACCTATTAAGTAAATTCACAACTTTTTTTTTTGAGCCTGGGTTTTACTCTGTTGCTCAGACTGGCCTCAGACTCCTGGGCTCAAGCAGTCCACCTGCTTCATAGGGCCTGCCGAGTAGCTAGGATTTATAGGTATACATCACCATGATTGGCTACACAATTCTTTGTTATTTTGTTTGGTTTTGGTTTTTTACAGTGCTGGGGATTGAACCCAGGACCTTGCCCAATCTAGGCTATGCTCTACCACTTGAACTAAGCCTCCCAGCCCTACACAACTTTGTTGTTGTTGTTCCTTTTTTGTTTGTTGTTTTTTCTATACAACTCTTAATTCATATTGAAATCCTAGGCCTGGGGCATACCTCAGTAGTAGAGTGTGTGCATAGCTTGTGTGAGGACCTAGTGGAAAGAAGACCTAGACTCTCAATAAGAGAAACACTAATTTTTTTAAATTATTTTTATACCTAGACATAGCAGGGCTATTATGAACTAATAATAAAACTTTGATATGGGGTGGAACAACTTGAGTAATTTCTGTGAATTATTAGGGTTTAATATTTGTGGGAGTTTTTTTGTACAATATGTTATATATGGGTATCATATCCTTTTTCTTAAGGAAAAGGTCAAAGGAATAAATGGCAAAGATAGTCTTAAAGCCAAGTGTAGTGGTACATGCCTGTAATCCCAGCTACTTAGGAGGCAGAGGCAGGAGGAACTCAAATTTGTCTCCAGCTAGGGAAAAGTTAGCAAAACCCTATCTCAAAAACAATATATAAACAAAAAGGCTGGGGGTATAGCTCAAACGGTAGAGCTCTTGCCTAGCAAGAGGCCCTAAGTTCAATACAAGTACTGCCAAAAATAAAATAAATACAGCCTTGATCTCAAGAACTCAGAAGTATTATTCTGAGAAACTATGAAAATTAAAAAACAGTATATTTTTAGATGTAACATGATGAATGGCCTCCTGTTATACTTGTAATCGTGTAAGATATGGTATGGGCCCCACAAGTATTTGAAGTAGTGGGTACCCCAATTAACAGGAAAGAAATCATATCCTGTCACTGTGAGCATGGTGTGTTGATATAGATGTCACTATCTTTCCAGAGTGGGAAATGCTTACTATGAGTATTTCTAGGATACAGGTCACTTGGGTTTCCCTGATAATTTTTTTTTTCCAGTACTGGGTTTAAACTCAGAGCATGGCATTTGCTAGACAGGTGTTCTACCACTTGAGCCATCCCCCCAGTCCAATTTCCCTGATCTTTACAACTCTTAAATAAAATCTGAGATTATTTCAGATTTATTCTGCAGGAAAATTCCAGAAACCATTACAGTATGATTTGGAATAAGTTACTTCAAGTACTGATAACTTTGTGTACTACTTTCCAGAAAATTACAGCTATCCTCCCCCTCATGTAGTAATGTTAACAACCTTCATCCATTCCAGGATACCCTCTCCTCTATTTCTAATGTACATCAGAATTACCTTTACTGTAAATTGAAACAGAATCTTATTTGTAAACGAAACCAAAGAGTAAAGAATAGAAAGCAGTTCTTTCCTTTCCTCCCTAATGTATTTCCAGAAATGAATGTAATTTTTAGTAAAAGAACAGTTGTGGGTTTTTAAATTTTGTTTGTGTTTTTCCATGCGGGGAATTGAACCCAGAGCATTGCGTATGCTAGGCAAGTGCTCTTCCACTGACCAATAGCCTCAA